TACGGTTACTCACTAAATTTCTTAAATGAGGGGTACAATCTAGAGATATGGCATGTCACGGGGTACGCTAATGAAAAAAGGTTGGGAACCACTGGTCTAGTTAATTGTCGTGTAACGGTGTAAAGGTACGCGTAGAAATTCCGGTGGACGTCCTATTTACATAAATGTATTTGAAGGTTTGTTTGTCGTCCGTATATGCGTAACGTAAAGTTAAGATTTTGCCCGTAAGATGGAAAAAAAATTATCGATTCTTATAAAAATACTGTATCGAAGAAAATGGCCCGGGATTATGGACAATTACTACGTAGATATCGGCAGAAACTATTGTGGGACCATAATATGGCTGTAAGGACATCTGTCAGTATCTCTAGACTACTTAGAAAACACTGAAGTTGGTTCAAAACGAGCGAGAAGTGCCAACAGAATCCTATTAGTAAACAATGACCAGAACTTCCTCAAATTTGGCACGCGTCGAAACGTAATCCTTCTCGTCACCAACGTCGCGCCAATTACGATTAAAATCATTAGATCCCTCCACGTTATGCTCTTTCGCGTTAGCATTTGACGATAGACCTAACGCAGCGCCAGATCCAATAGGTGCGAGGCCCGATTGAATTTTTTTGCGGGGCCCCTCTAACTTTAAATAACAAAATTAATTAACAGTTAATTTACATATTGAAATATGTTGTTATATCTATATCTATATCTATATCTATATATAAAAATGGACATGTATGTCCCTATATTTCACTTTTCCTCCAAAACTACACATCGCACGCGAATGGTGTTTGTATGTGGTAGTAGCCCCGAGTCTCCATTCGTGCACTATGGTGGTTGCGTCTCGATAGCTATAAGGGTGCGGGAGATATGGGCTTGAAAGTGGTTGAAAGTGGAAGATTTTCTATTTCGATTTTAAAAGTTATCGAATTTAAATTCGAATTGGTTCGATTATAGAACAATTGTAAACGTTCCAGAAAATTGATCAAATGGAAAATAGTTCGTTTAACTGGACGTAAAAATTCTCTAATTAGTCTGGAAACAAAGGACCTAATTCTTGCATTCTGTGAAAACGGGTAAGATTGGCTATAATGTAATTATCTTAATCNTATATTTTGATAACAGCAATTTATATACAAATTATGTATAACAAAATCCACTAGTGGCAGAGTAAATTAAACCAATAAACACAGGTTTTATCCAATAAAACAGCGATTCCCAACCTGTGGTACGCGTACCCCTAGGGGTACGCGATAGGTTGTTTAGGGGTACAGAAAAAAGTTAGTTATTATGGCAGAAAAAATAATATATTATGTATCACAAACTAATAGTATTAAAAAATTATTAGATAAATAATGTTCCTTGCAACAATCACAACTTTATTATACATTTTTTCTTTTAGTTTTTTTTTCTTTAATTTATAGTTACAATATGTAAAATTAACAATACGGTTACTCACTAAATTTCTTAAATGAGGGGTACAATCTAGAGATATGGCATGTCACGGGGTACGCTAATGAAAAAAGGTTGGGAACCACTGGTCTAGTTAATTGTCGTGTAACGGTGTAAAGGTACGCGTAGAAATTCCGGTGGACGTCCTATTTACATAAATGTATTTGAAGGTTTGTTTGTCGTCCGTATATGCGTAACGTAAAGTTAAGATTTTGCCCGTAAGATGGAAAAAAAATTATCGATTTTTATAAAAATACTGTATCGAAGAAAATGGCCCGGGATTATGGACAATTACTACGTAGATATCGGCAGAAACTATTGTGGGACCATAATATGGCTGTAAGGACATCTGTCAGTATCTCTAGACTACTTAGAAAATACTGAAGTTGGTTCAAAACGAGCGAGAAGTGCCAACAGAATCCTATTAGTAAACAATGACCAGAACTTCCTCAAATTTGGCACGCGTCGAAACGTAATCCTTCTCGTCACCAACGTCGCGCCAATTACGATTAAAATCATTAGATCCCTCCACGTTATGCTCTTTCGCGTTAGCATTTGACGATAGACCTAACGCAGCGCCAGATCCAATAGGTGCGAGGCCCGATTGAATTTTTTTTGCGGGGCCCCTCTAACTTTAAATAACAAAATTAATTAACAGTTAATTTACATATTGAAATATGTTGTTATATCTATATCTATATATATAAATGGACGTGTGTGTCCCTATATTTCACTTTTCCGCCAAAACTACACATCACACATAAATGGTGTTTGTATGTGGTAGTAACCCCGAGTCTCCTCTATTCGTGCACTATGGTGGTTGCGTCTCGATAGCTATAAGGGTGCGGAAGATATGGGGCTGAAAGTGGTTGAAAGTGGTTCTCTATTTCGAATTTTATGTTCAAATTTGTTCGAATTTGAATTCGAACATAAAATTCGAATATTGGTTCGATTATAGAAGTATTGTAAACGTTCCAGAAACGTTCAAAATAGTTCGTTTGACTTGACGTGAACAGGAGACGTTTAGAAATAGAATCGAGTACAGGTCTCTAATTAGGGACCTAATTCTTGCATTCTGTGAAAACGGGTAAAATTGGCTATAATGTAATTATCTTAATCTTCACTATCGTTGCTTTTTAAAAACCCAGCGAAGCGGGTCCTTGCAGCTAGTTTTTAATAATAATATACCTAGATATTTATTTTTGTAACGTGTACTATTTTTTAATATATAAATTTTGATGCGCTGCGGGGCCCGTTCAAGAGCGGGGCCCGATTGGCACAAATCGCTCCAATCGCCTCAAACCGGGTCTGACCTAATACGGAGTGTTGCAAACTCCAAATTCGAATTTGAAGCGATTTACCTCGAGATGGACGAGATTGTATTTTTACACCGACCGTACGAAAAACACTTTCATTTCGATTCTATTTCTGCCGTTTAATTGAATTTCGTCTGCCATTCCCAACAACAGTTTGTAATGTATTGCCAAGCTTTACTTTTCCAGTTTACTGCATTACATAGCTCTTTGGACCTTGTACGAAATTCTTCGATACAGTAGTATATTTCTTCCCGACTTTACATCGATTCCAACAAATTAGAAGCTGTGGTGCGAGGAAAATCGGGATGTAAAAACGTCCAGCAATATCTTCTAAGTATAGGCTAATTGATATCGGTAGCCATCTGGTTACAATTACAGTAAAAATACAAATTTAATACCCGTTCAGAATCGTTCTCTTCGGCATTTCACCCCTTTATAACGAATTAAATGGAAGTTTTCTTTGCAGAATGCCACGGAAATGAAAGTGAAAAACCTGTTGATCCTGCTCTCGTGTATCGTTTTGGCTCAGTGTTGCACCGAGTTCTTGAGCAGATGGAAGAATGTCCCGTGTCCCAGGTTTGTTCTACGGGACACCAGAACCGATTGTCTTCTAAGCGAAAACGTTTTTGTCGCTGTTAGCGTCGATTATCTTTTCATCGATTGCTACGGAGCGGATCCGGATCGTCGGATCTTCCGGTGTTTGCAACAAACAGAAGACCTTAATTTAGTAATGCGCAATTGTTATTCCCGAAATTTTAGTTTGAGTGAATTTTTATCTGGACTCGTCATACGCAATTTGCAAATTGCATTTACCAAAATCGAACCGAATTATCAAANGTTTGAGTGAATTTTTATCTGGACTCGTCATACGCAATTTGCAAATTGCATTTACCACAATCGAACCGAATTATCAAAGTTTGCACTTTGAAAAGCTGCCATTTGTCAGAAACGTATCCCTGTCCGGAATAAGAACCGCAGAAACATTCGACCTGACGTTCGATTTCCAACCCGTCATCTACTCGCTACAAATTTTCGAATATAATTTCACCTCCTTTCATCAGCCACCATTTAAAAATCTGACAAATCTGCCAATTCTAAAAATAGTATATGGAAATCTACAGCGTGTTCAAGTGGAGCTACTCCAAGAGTTGAGAAATCTCAGAATACTAACCTTGTACAATAACAGATTAAGAGAGATTCCACGTGGATTCTTTAAAAATCTCACATTGTTAACATATTTAGATTTATCCGATAATCAAATCGAGAACTTCTCGGAAGACATCTTTTCCGATCTCTTCAGCCTAGAAATACTTCGGATCAAAAACAATAAACTGACGGTTCTTCCGGAAAATTTGCTCTCCTCCCTCACTCAGTTAATCGGTCTCGAAATAAGTGGAAATACAGGAATAAAAAACTTACCCAAAGGATTCTTAAGAGGCTTGACACGCTTAGAACTATTTTGGGCATCCGGATGCTCTTTGGAACGTCTGGAGGAATCTTTATTTTCAGACACCACCTCCTTGATAGACTTCTTCGTAGATTTTAATAACATTACACGTCTACCGGAAGCACTGTTTAATAACACGGAACATTTGAGTCGTTTGTTTATGACTGGAAATAAATTATCGACTTTGCCACCGCGTGTATTTTCTAACTTAAAGAGAATCGGATCATTAGACTTATCGTACAACAGACTGAACAGTTTACATAAAGATATCTTCAAGCGCTTATCAACACTGGCAGTGTTGCGGTTATCCGATAACGATTTGTCCTCCTTGCACGAAGATACACTTCTACCTCTTTTGAATTTGAGGATCATCGATCTATCGAATAACAACTTCGAACGTTTACCCGCAAAATATCCTTTTGGTTCCAGCAATTATTTGCAAAATGTGAAGATGAGCAACTCGAATCTGAAGACTTTTCCTAATATTGATTGGTCGAATAACAACCTGACTGAAGTCGATCTATCCCACAACCAATTTCGGCAAGTCACTCTACCCGTGTTTACCAAGAAGCGCACCAAGATATTGCTCAACCACAACAACATATCCACCATCTACATTGACTATCGACGACATTCTAACAGTTATCCAGTGTATAACGTCACAGGAAATGTCATCGAGTGCGACTGTCGAATCAGACAGTTCTTGCGATTTCTTCATTTTGACAAAAACGCCGTCCGCATTTTTCCAAATTCCAATATCCTGAGATGCAATGGAGATTCCGAAAAGAAACTAACAGAAATTTGGCCAATTTACAGTGTCTGTCCGCGGAAAGAGGAGTGTCCTTTGTTTTGCGAGTGCTACTTGACACTAGAAGGACAAAGTACAATCGATTGTTCTCGTAGAAATTTATCTAATTCGCCCGCGAATCTTCCTACAAATGCAACATTCGTCTTTTTGAACGACAATCACATTGCCAATCTGTCCGAAGTGGACGGGACTACGTGGAAAAACGTCACCCATCTCTATCTTAGTAACAATTCTCTGACGTCACTAAACGATTGGGTCGTTCCGGATAATCTCCTCTATTTGGCTCTGGATGGAAACAAGCTGTCGGATTTGCCCCCTTCTGTGATGAAGCGCGTGGAAGATTCGTCAAACTTCAGCATCTTTCTTTCCAGAAACGAGTGGAAATGCGATTGTCACTCTGTCCATTTCAAGAAGTGGTTCACGCGGAATTTGCTTAAGATCCGTGATTCCGAGAACGTAACCTGCCAGAGAGTCAATAGAGTTAATAATTCCGTGACACACGAGCTAATTGCAAGTATACCGCTGGATGTGTTCTGTCTAAAGGAACCCGTGTGGCCTTTATGGCAAATAATCGTTCTTACAGTTTCGGTAGTATTGTTATTGATGTCATCAGTTCTCGTAGTTGCCTGTTATCATTACAGACTCGCTATATTGGCCTTTCTGTACAGTCGAGACGTGTACTTGCCCTGTTGCTACAGGGTCCTCGACGAAGAGGAAAACAAGTACGACGCTTTTGTGTGTTATAATAGTTCCGATTCTAACTTAACCATGGAGATGGTGGATCGACTGGAACCCACTTATCGCCTTTGTATTCACGAACGTGATTGGTTGGCGGGTAGCCCTATTAGCGAGAACATCGTGCATTCTGTGCTTAACAGTAGAAGGACGGTGATATTGTTGTCTCGACAGTTTCTGGACAGCATGTGGTTCAGTGTGGAGTTTCGTGTGGCTTACAACAGGATGATGGAAGACCAAGCTTATCGTTTGGTTTTGGTTTTGGTGGAAGAGTTGGAGAATTGGAAGGAGCTGGAGGACGATCTTCGTCGTTTGCTTTCGACGAGAACTTACTTGAAGTGGGGAGAGAAATGGTTCTGGGAAAAGTTGAAATATATTCTTCGCAAACAATAGTTGATAAAAGCAATTGGCTGGCTACTGTTAAAAGAATG